TCAACGAGAAGTCTGGGTTTGGGAGAGCCTGAGTGCCCTGGAGGGACTTTCCCTGCCGGATACACGATGGACGGGTGGCAGAAACGGAGGGTCGTGTGCCTGGCGGGACTGTCGATCGAGGACACTGAAGCTATCTACCTATTCGGAACCATGATAACAGGGTTCTTGCTGATCTGAGCTGGCTTGGCCCTGGCTTATCGGAGAATTAAGACAGCAGAACCGGCTGTTCAAACCCCCCCACCCCCCCAAGGCTGCCTGCAAATCTCTTTTTTCTTTTACTACATCTTATTAATATTTTGCTCTTACTATTTTTTCTATTTATTTTTTATTATTTTTATTTTATTTTCAAATGAAAACCTGAAACTGAAGCACCGCAGCAATTTCCTAATGTTGTAAACCTGCTCAACATTTGGCAATAAACCCCATTCTGATTCTCTGATTCTGATTCTGATTCTGATTCTCTGAAACCTAGTAAAGTAACTGAGTCAAAGTTCAAAGAATAAGTGTAGCAAACACATATCTATCTCGGAAATAACTTGTGACAGTTTAACATTGACGAGAAACAGGAAATACGTCAATGGGGAGAGCAACAGTGTGGTCATTGTTTATTTCCTGATCTACAGTGATACCATCACACCACGAGAACGACTAAAGCAACTTTTCCTTCTCACAAAAAGCTACAAAATCAGAGGTGAGTCTTGTTCATTTTTCATCCTCAAATCTTTTGTAATTCTTGTGATACAACAGACACTGAATAAAACCACTTTTAACCAGTCTTGACTGAAAGGACAAAATATTAAGGTGGATTCTGTGAGTGAACATTAAGTTAATCTGAATACATGCTGACAGATGTCTTACTGGCTGAGGCCCATGGTGTCCTGGCATCAGGTGAACTGATGAAAAACCTTGTGCTCAAACATGATGATATATTTGAAAATATACTGTGATTAGCACATCATTATATTCAGAAAATATTATCAGGAAGGCGTCAAATACCTTTTTCTAAGCATTATATTCAGCAGCAAGACTGTACGGTGCATTACATAGAAAACATCATTAGACAACTTTTGTTGTGAAATTAATTTAATTGAACTCAACAAAACACTCAGTAGGTTATTCAAAATTGCTGTCTACATAGCTTTTCAAAGCATACAACCTGTTTATCGGAACTAATCAGCAAGCTATGTGTGACTTTTCTGTGCGCCAATGTCAGTGATAGCAAACAGGAAATGCATCAGAGTTCATAGTAGCGCTGCAGTCACAGTGTGTTTTCTGATTTAAATTGATACCATAAAACCACAAAGACATAACGACTGAAGACACTTTTCATGCTCTCAGAAAAGTACAGAGAGATACTTCAAATATTGGTGAGTCCAGCTGGTTTCTCAGATTTACAGAAAAACACGCAAACTGAGTGTGTGTGTTGTAACACATCCCGCATGATGTCACTCAGCAATCAAATCATTTTATTCAGAGCAACTGTGAGAGGAGACAAGATGTAGAAGTCCAAATTATTAATTCAGAAAAATATGGAGAAATAAAAAGTTAAAGATTGTTTGCAATGTAGAATATAGTGAAGGAGGACAGCATGCAAGGGTTAACACTGCACAAAAAGAAGGTTCTGGGTTCAAATCCAGTCTCAGGTATTCATCAGGGGTAGGCAACCTTTCTGATGACGAGTGCCATTTAACATTTCCTCAGAAGTCAATGTGCCATATGACTGCATTAGCAATAAATTTTCTTTGTCCTGGTCGTTGTGTTCTTAGGCAAGACACTTTACCCTACCGCCTGCTGGTGCTGGCCAGAGGGGCCGATGGCGCGATATGGCAGCCTCGCTTCTGTCAGTCTGTGGCTACAACTGCAGCTTGTGTGTGAATGTGAGAGTGAATGAATAGTGTATTTGTAAAGCGCTTTGAGTGCCTTGAAAAGCACTATATAAATGCAATCCATTATTATTATTATTATTAAATTTAATAACGCTCTATGTTAACAGTTACACACTATATAGAACCACTTTATAGAATTATATTTGTTCACAGAATGTGGCAGCTATCAGCGAATAGTTATCAGCTATTTTGAAACAAAAAAAAGACACTTTTTATCAATAAGAAGAACTCCATAACAGCAAATGGATTGTACAACAGAAAATGCAAATGCTATTTATGGTCTCCTCACAACAATGATAAGAAAAATAAACTAGGCCAATATGGCATGTCTGTTAATACAGAGGCACACATGCTAATATGATTTCAATTCAATTTTATTTATATAGCGCCAAATCACAACA